GGTGACTGTGTCGCCCCTTGACTCCCGTTCCCGTTGGCTGTGTCGCCCCTCGACCGCTGTGCCTCGTGACTGTGTCACCCCTTGACCCCCATGCCCGTTGGCTGTCTTCTCTTGACCCCTGCGCCCGGTGACTGTGTCCCCCTTGACTCCGTTCCCGATGGCTGTGTCGTCCCCCTCGACCCCCCCTCCCGATGGCTTTGTCGTCTTTTGACCCCTGTGCCCGGTGACTGTGTCGCCCCTGACTCCCGTTCCCGGTGGCTGTCACCCGTGAAGCCGGCCCACCAGCTCACCGAAAATGAAGCAGCCCTCTCCCCGTCCGCTCCCGTTCTTGCCGCTTCTGACCCAGGACAGCTGGGTGCCGCCCCCGTTCCTGTCGTCTGACCCAGGACAGCTGGGTGCCGCCCCCGTTCCTGTCGTGTGGTCCAGGACAGCTGGTTGGCTGCCTCGCTCCCGCCTGCTCTGGGCCGGCCAGATCCGCTCGCCGCCGGTCCGTGCCTCCCTGAGTTACCAGTCGGCAGCACATCGCGGCGGCGCCGGCGATAATACACCGTCCGGCGGTCACTGCGCCAAGGTGAACTGGCACCGGCGTTCCCGGTACGCTGCGACCCGGCTGGGTTTTTGTTGGCGGCCGAATGTGGCCGATGAAGCGATATTCTGGTCGCGCTTGCGCCGCGCGGCGTGACATCTGGTGCCTGTTGACGTCATTTTTAGTGTGGCGCTTAGCTGCTTCATGTTTGTGTTTGGCGTGGATTTCTGTGCTTCCTTAAAAGCAGGCAGCAAGCACTGCTTGTTGCATCAGTACTCCGAGAATGTGGCCTGCCTTCATGTTGAATGGCTTAACGGGCACGCGGCCAATCCTGCCGTGTGCTGCCGCACCCAGTCGCCCCGCTTCGCTCAAGCCTCCTCCATGTCCGGATGTATTGCTTCTTAACGGGTGAGGGGATGGACCCTGTGTTCTGTGGAGGCGCGGTCTGAGGCGCTGTTCCTGTGTTCCTGCTGACCCTGTGTTCTGAGGCGCGTCCGGTGCGTCGCAGGCTCAGTGCAGCACATGCCCACATTCAGGGCTGGTCTCTCCCCCGCCCCCGCCCCCGCCCCGCCCCCGCCCCCGCCCCCGTGCCCACGCCCGCGTAGTCTACGCTCCGGCATGACACCGCAGCTATGTGGTCGGCTGTCGTCGTGGTTGTTTCTGGCGTGTGCGGGTCTGGAACATGGCAGCGCTCCTTAGGTTTCGGGCTGAGATGAGTTGCGTCATGTGGCGATCCGATGCGGTAGGTTACCGCCGCATCGGACGCAAACAGAGCGTCTGTTACCGCCGAAGGATGGTTTCTGAACGGCAACCCGAGTGAAGTATAGATGTAGTCGTAATGATGATGCCAGAGCCTGACTGGATGGGCGTTCTCGGTCAGTTCAATGTCATTCCGCTGCACTGGCTTAACACAGCTTTCCGTGACGTGGATTCTGGGCTGTGAGGCATTTCACATCCCTCTTTTATCTTTTGACAGTAAACAGTTAGTAACGCTGTTGGATTATGTTTGCGTTAAGTGGGCGTAGCTTCTCGGTAAATGATGTCTGGTGGAAGTACATCAGGTCTTGAGTGGGCATTATGCGTCGTTTCCGATTTGTGTCTGGCCGGCTTGTGTAAGCCGATTTGGGCTGACAACTTGGCGAATAAGTTTTGCCGCGCATTCCAGCCTGGTAGTGTGCATGTCGTCTGTCACATTTGGATGGCGTTTCTTATCAGTGTTTGCCAAGTGAGCGTGGCCTGGTAGATCTCGGGGTGCGGGGACTGAATGGGTAGCGAAAGGTCACTGAATGCTCTCTGTAGGTCATCACGATGACGTTATGCCCCGAGCGACCCTTGCCTTCGTCGGTATTGACATGCAGCTGTGCGCTGGTGCATGGCCATGTGCAGATGCACCGTTCGTCAGGTCAACCGGGGACTCGATGTCAGTTGCAAGTGGCATATGTGTGGTGTGCTCTGGGAGACGAACGCCAGGGCCGTTTCCGCCCGAGTCTGGAGCCGTGTTTGCCAGGCTACATCCGCCCTGCTGCTGCCTCTAGAGGCCGGCACGAGGCGATCTCCAGCGGGGCAGACGTCGGGAAGGCGAGCCCATCCGCCCTGCTGCTGCCTCTAGAGGCCGGCACGAGGCGATCTCCAGCGGGGCAGACGTCGGGAGCAGCCCATCCGCTGCCCTAGAGGCCGGCACGAGGCGATCTCCAGCAGGGCAACGTCGGGAAGGCGAGCTCATCCGCCCTGCTGCTGCCTTTAGAGGCCGGCACGAGGCAATCTCCAGCAGGGCTGACGTCGGGAAGGCGAGCCACCAGTACGCATGATTCTGGGAGTGGGGGACAACTCCCACCAGGAGGGACCCCCGACCCCCCTCATTCTGGATGTTTTGTTTACTGGATAGTTTGTTTTAGAAGACAATGTGAGGAAAGGGTCGTTTTTTGTGTATTTTTGCAGGCCTCCTGTTTTGAATTCCTGTGGTTTTGATCCACGCAATGTGTTGATATGATTTTAGTGGCTGTCGCTTTTCGTCATGCTGACTCAGCTAAAAACCGGCGGCGCCGCCATTTTGGAGTGACATCGCGTGTGGGAGGTTCGTTGGCTCCGAGCGCACCCGTCCGAGGTCCGTGCAGCCCACCGGGCCCCCTAACGGTCCCCGCGTTCGGCCACCGGTGTCGCTGCTGTCCCCCACTGGTGCCCGATCAACGGGCGCCTCAGGGGCGCGCCGAATCGACCGAAGACACGCTGGTGTTTGGCAGCGGCGGGCGTCTCACGGAACTGCGCTCGGCTGGCTTAGCGTGAGGCGTAGCGTGTCTTCAGCCGCCGACACAGCGCAATCGTCTTGGTTTGAATGGCCGAGCCAATTGAGTTGTCGTCTCGGCTTCCCAATGGGTCGTGGCACCTGAGCGCTCGTTCGGACAGCCGCCTTCCGGTTTGCATGCTAATGGCCAGCTTCAGGTCACCCACCGGTCTAAGTCGCACAGTTTCGCACTGCCGGTTAGTACCCTGCGGACGGCCACCCCGCTGTCAGGCAGCTGCACTTTCCGTCCCCGAGTTGCTGATGGCTTGCGGTCTCCGTTGCGCACCGGCTGCGCGAGCTGGCAGACTCCGCACTTACGACCCGTAACCATTGCTGGCGACAAGTGTCGTGTCGTAATCGCTCCCTGCACGCCACACACGAGGGCAGCGGTCTGACGTTACCGCGCGGCGCCGGTGGCACAGGCGCCGCTCTGCCGGCCAGCGTAACCCTGCCCTCCCCCTCCCCGGGCGGCGCTCTTAGCCGGTCCCTCGTCCCCACCCTCCGCCCACCTGGGCCGGCTCGCAGCGCGGGCTGGCTGGAGTTGTCACCGCCGCCGCCGCCGCGGACGGCGCCGCACACGCCGCGCATCGGGCCTGTGGCGGCTCCTGGGCGGCGGGCTGCGCTGATGTGAGATGGGCGACGTTGGAGGTGCGTCAACAACGCCGCATAGACGCACGTGCCGCTGCGCCATGTCGCCGCTCGTGCTGCACACAATCGCGCTCTGGCGCCGGCTTTTCTCACCGAAGTCAGCTTGGCGGTCCGGTGAACCGGATCGTCCCCCGCTCGGCTTCTCCACAGGACCGTTGAGGTCACGCTGTTGACACCTAGCGTTGTGGCGATGCGAACCCGTGCCAGCTTGTATCAGCGGGACACGGCGGCGCCGCTCTCTGGCGACAGACATCTTCGGCGGGCGCTCCGCGGTGGGCTGGTCGGCGACGGCGGTGGCAACGGTGCCGGAGATAGGGGGCAACGGCGGCGGCGGCGGCGAACTCGGTCGCTGGTGCGGCGGGCCCGCAGCGCCGGGGGAGACCAGTTTCGGTCTCGCGCGACGCTCCGGGCCGGTGCGTCCGAGGACGCAGCCGACGGCTCGGCCGGAGACGAACGCTGCCAGGCCGCGGTGAGCTCGCGGTTTGGGTCGCTGGGATGGACGATCGGTGAAGGTGGCCATGTTGCGATGCTGCGGCTGGGTTTTCCGTTGTGAGATGTAGCGCTCTAGCACGTCCGTAGACTAGTACTCCAGCTCAATGTGACGAAATGCTCAGGTCCAGTAACTTTATTGAACACATGGAATTCAAAGACGGTCATTTACGGAGGAAACTAAGAGATGGTGAGCACTGCTACGAGAAGATTACGTTTCTCAGCAAATGCAAAACATGCATGAGACAACTTAAGAGATTTTGTTTTAACTTGACACTTGTATTTAGTGCAGTAAAAGTGCTCGTAATCAGGCAAATGATGTAAGAATGTCAGAAAAAAACAACGAAATAGGCGGGGTGTACTGGAAGCAATGCCCATCCGGCGCGTCCCTTCGTCGCTTCTTATGAATCGTAATCGGGCCCCAACCAGGCTGTGCTCAGGACCGGAGACCACGTCCCAAGCGCCTAACCGACCCAGCGGACGCCGCCCTCTCCGCCTCCGATGCGCCGCCGCACTGCGCCGCCAGCGGCCGCGGCCGCGCCAGAGGGCGACCGGCTGTTTGCCGTCGCGTCGGGCCGGTCTCGTGACGCCGGACGCCCGTAAAGTCCGGCGGCCGGCGCGGCACCTTTGTACCGGCGCCGCCTACCGCCGCGTTCGGCGAACTCGACAATGGAGGGGCGGTGTCGCCGGCCGGGCGCGGCGCCCTCCGCTCGCCGACTCCGGCGCTGGTTCGCACCGTGGCGCGGCGGCCGGCCCGCGGAACCGCCGCCGGCCGGCCGCCGCTGGCTTGTGGTATGCTGGCCGAGCTGGCGTCGATGGAAGGCTGCTCACATCCGTTCTGTGTCAGGGCACGGGCGCTATATTTGACACGCTTGTTTCCGCTGCTGGCTGCAGTGTCGATCTGCCGCCCACGGTCGGGCTGCACTGACGCGTCGCCTCCCGTTGCGTGACGGCGTCTGTGGCTGACTGGCGCGTGCCTGGCCCCCCGCCCTCCGCCCGCACCTCGGCGCGTGCACGCCCTCACGCCGTCGCTGACTGCTCCGCCTCTGCCGGCAGGTACAGGACAACTCGCCCGGCCAGCGGGCCGGCTTGGAGGCGTTCTTCGACTTCATCCTGGCCATCGAGAACACGCGGCTGGTGAGTGACGCCCGCCGACGGGGAGGTGTGCCGAGGCACGCCGCACCGGCGGGGGTAGGTGCGCCGAGACACACCGCACAGGCTTGGGAGGTGCGCCGAGGCACGCCGCACCGGCGGGGAGGTGCGCCGAGGCACTTCGCACGGGTGGGGGGGGGGGGAGAGGGGGGGTTGCCGAGGCGCGCCGCACCGGCGGGGGAAGTGCGCCGAGGCTCGCTGCACCGGATGCGGCGACGTGCCGGCGGCAGCCGCGCTAAGTGGCGCAAACCTGGGCTTTCCCCCGCGTGCGCCGACGAATTCCGTCTGATTCAGACGGGTTTGGCCGCGGGGAGTGGGCGTGCGAACGGCCAGAACAAACGGCGCGAGAGTGACGCTAGTTTCCTGCTTCACACGTCCCTTTCGAGAAGCGTTTGTCAGGCTCGGCTGGGTGCGAAGTGCTTTCCGGTGGGCAGGCCGTACGACATGGACAATAGTCGGATCCGAATTGGCTTGCGTTTCTCCAAGCCGTTTGTCTGTGTCTTTCAGTTGGTCTTACCAGTTTACGTTCTGCTCGTTTCAACTGCAACCATGCTTGACTGATTTGTCCCGACCCAGCGTACTTTACAGATGACAGATGGCTCGGTAGCATGACGTCTTTATTGATGACTGTAGTTGCGAGAATAGGAGAGCGGGACGAGCGAAAATCACGAATTCTTGGCACTCGTCATCGTCTGATTGGGTAGAGACGGGGAAAAATAACAGGAAAAGGGACGCGTTTGCGCCGTCAGCCGCCTTCCGTGGTCGACGCGGGAAATTCGTACCCGTTTTTATGTTTTCCTCAGTATTGGTCTTCGACATTACGACCGGCAATAAGCAGGTCGGTGTGACCGGGCTTGTCATATATCAAGCAATCATCAATCACAATGCCCCTCGTAATTGCATCGATCCAAGGAATTCGTGTGGTCATCCGAGCCATATGAATCACTTGGAACGTTGTTATTATGGTAGCTTGTTAAGTTGAGCGATCTGAGTAATCGGTGCGCACCGTTCGTCGTAGGCGGTCCATGTGGCCCGCCGTTCTTCACCACGTCGTTAGGTGGTAGATCCGTCTGAGCAAGAACATGTACGAAATGACTTACTTCATCCACTATGGCTAGTCGTCGTGAGATGCACCACGCCTTATCCTCTTAAAGACTGATATGCGGAACGCCGTTCAGTGTCAGTCGGGTTCGACATCCGGCTGTGTTAATGTCAGCGTGGCTGTGTTAATGTCAGCGTGGATTCCCTGCTCACGGCCAGCCGAAGTTCTGGCCGTTACGGGCTAAGACGCATTAACGGGACACCTCACCATCTGATGCGTTTGGGCTGCAGCTTGCCCGGTGACGTTCAGCCCAGCCCCCACCCCACGCCCCTGCTCCCCACAGGACGTGGACGATGACACGCTGAAGAAGCTGCTGACGCAGCACGTGGAGAAGGAGACCAAGATGATGGTGTACAGCAGTAAGACGCAGCGTGTGCGGGAGGTCAAGATCGTGCCGTCAAGCGTGTGGGGCGGCCAGGGCCTCCTCGGTGTCAGCATCCGTTTCTGCTCGTTCGAGGGCGCCAACGAGAACGTCTGGCACGTGCTGGTGAGTGAGCGCGCTGGCCGGCGCTTTGCGAGGTCACGCTGGTCTCCAGAGCGTTTCTGGGTGCCGGTGGGCGCGCTGAACGTTTGTGGGGAGTTGGGGAGGGAAGACCCGGGATGGGTCGCAGGAAAGGCCTGTTGCACGTAACCGGGCTGCTTTGGGGCAGGGCAGCTGTGGCCAGGCTATGGTTATGGACCGGAGTTCCGTAGGGCTGTGACGAAGGGAGGGGGGGGGGGGGGAGTGGGCACGCGCCATATTCTGGCGAAGCGTGATGGACGCCGCGCTGCCATTATGTGTCGCCGTGGTGCTCTGGCAGTCCGGCCTGCTCCGGCTGTAAACAGCGGGACGGCCAATAAGCTGTCTCGCGGACGTTGTGGCGCCGTGACTTGCAAGTGGGTGGCCCGGCGGCGGCCGCCCTTCTGACGACCCGCGCCCTTCCACGAACGCCGCTGTGGGCGAGTCAGAGACGCAGCGCCGCTGAGGGCGAGTCAGAGACGCTGCGCCGCTGAGGAAGAGTCAGAGACGCTGCGATGTTATGGGCGAGTCAGAGACGCTGCGCCGCTGAGGACGAGTCAGAGACGCTGCGCCGCTGAGGACGAGTCAGAGACGCTGCGCCGCTGAGGACGAATCAGAGACGCTGCGCCGCTGAGGACTTTCCGAGCTCGCCTGTCACCGTCGGCCGCGCCGCTGAGGACGAGTCAGAGACGTTGCGCCGCTGAGGACTTTCCGAGCTCGCTTGTCACCGTCGGCCGCGCCGCAGAGGACGAGTCAGAGACGCTGCGCCGCTGAGGACTTTCCGAGCTCGCCTGTCACCGTCGGCCGCGCCGCCGCTCGGTTCATCTGGCGCGGCGTGTGCCGACTGCGTGAGGCGCCACGGGCACCGGCACCGGGGCCGGCCCGACCCGAGCCGGCAGCGCGCACTGTCCGCGGGCCGCAACACGCGGTGCCAACGCCACACTGCGCTTTGAACGACATTTCGTGCCATCACGGTGCGAACGCTCGGGGAACTATCTGGAGGACCCGGGTCTGCGGTTTGGTGGTGACGTGAGTGGGTTAGCTGCGAAGTGGAGCGAACGGGTGTGGGTTTCCTCGTTCCGGCTCCAGCAGTGGCTGAACGACTGCTCACTCCTGACTTGGTGAAGTTTGCCCTGTAAAGCGCGACCTTGCATGAATTCTATGCGCACAGTGCCGAGTAGAGCTGAGTAGAGCGCAGTGCGTTATGGAACAAAGTGGTCCGTCCCTGGCATTGTGTTTTATTGCGGCTTATGTGCCTTTGTAAGTCGTATGTTCAGTTTGTACGTGGTGGATTGCTTATTTATATTTTTGAAACCTCCTAGGTGTAGTGACTCCTCAAGATCTAACGGCAATATGACAAGTCAATCGCTGGTAAGACCTGCTAAATGCACATGATGGTGCGGCACAGCAGGGAAACCGCAGCAGGGAGGAGAAGTGCGTGGAAGGGGTGTCGCCCTGGTGCATCAGCTCTTCAACTACAGGGTCCGGATGCTAACCGCGGGCGGGTGCCAAGAAATCGCCATCGGAGGCCGCTGAATCGAGGCGTCCAATAGGCACGAGATCTGTTGCGGCAGCTGTTGGAGGCGACCGACTTTACCTGACCGCAAACTAGTTCATTGCCCTACCACTCCCTGGATCCCCCAGCCCCCTCCGACCTCCGGCCGCTGGTGCAGGCAGGCGGCCGCGAGCGGGCGGGCACGTCTTCCGCATGGCGGAGGGCCTGCGGGACAGTGCGAGGAGATAGCTGGGCCGCGAGACGGTCGTGCGTCGCATGGTGCGCGTGCGTGTGGGGCGTTTCGACGCACTCAGCCGCTGAGATGGCATGACCTCGCCCAGCCTCTCATCCTGGCAGGAGAGACGAGCACTGCAGGGAGCCGGGGCCGCGTGGTGCGCGCTGCGTGCCTTTATGAGTTCTCCCCGTGTGACCGGCTCCGCGGTCGGTTGCCATCACAAAGGGTGCACTGCGGGTATGAAGTGCCGTTTGCCTCTCTTGGAAAATTGTCCTTACCTTGCTTTTTTATGTTTCGTTATCAACAACTGCCTCAACTAGTTTTGCTTATCAACTAAGTTGTGCTATGTTTATCTTTTCCAAGTACGTGTCTTTACGCCCTTAAGCGAGCCTTGCATTAATACCTATCTCACAAGCATTGAAAAGCTGCTTGCTCTACTTTCCATCTAACTGTCTTAAGAGCGCTTCTTATGCTGTTAAACCGCCTGGTTACAGGCTGAAGCCTGGGAGAGATTAGGCCCGTTAGGCGGGCACGCTACCTGGACGTTAAAACTTCCGATACTGTGTTACCGCTATTCCGAACCTTCAGCAAGGTCATAGTTACATTCCGGGCTGGGGAGGGGGGGGGGGGGGGGGGCTGAAAGGCGCGTTCATCTGAAATGTGGTCGAGAAAGCTCATGCCCTTTCAGGTTAGTTTCTAGCACCTCCAACAAGTACAAGCCTGAACCAAAGTTAAACAGCTCGAAAGACGGGGTTTAACAGTAGTTGCTGACTTGTTGGTTCTCATTGCCTGATGCACGAAAAAATACTTTTAGTGTTCAGGAGAAAAATCCGTTCAGATGTGGGTACGATTCAACTGCTTCCCATCCTCCCATGCCGGCCCCATGAAGTTCATTGTACCTGAGCAGCCGCAGAGCATCCCTGTCAGAGGTGCGGCTTTGGATTTGCAGGATTGAAGTAGAGCTCAGGGTCCAGCGTTAAAAATAGAATCTTGGTAGTAGGAAATAGAATCTTGATAACAAGGACTCAGATGCTGAAAGGAATGTTTCAAATGTCATGGTTAATTTGGAGTTCCCATTATTATGGCCATAATTTGAAAGTGGAAATAGTCATGCTAAACGCTTTCTAGGTCAATATTAACAGAAAGACGTAAGTATAGGTTGGTTTTCCATGGGACCAGGTTACTGGTCGTTCGCTTTGTGGTGTATCGCTGTTAGTTTAAGACCTTGCAAGGATTTCATCCAGCTTAATTTATTCAAAATAATCAATTTCTAGGGTAAGCCCAAACCAAAATCCCCATATGCTAGTATTTCGATCACAAAGTTGTATGAATCCTCAGCTCTTATAAGCTTTTCTAGTTGGGACTAATGCATATCCCTTTGGACTCAAAATGTAACACCGCTGGATTTCAAAACCATGCAGGTAATCTATTTCTCAGTAACACAAACAGGTGTGTTTCCGAAGCAACATAACATTTCAACTCATCATTTTGAAGCTGTTCATCACCATGGTTTCGCACTTACTATTCCTTGCATACCATATTCGGTTTCGGATGAGCTGGCGAAACCTAGGTTGCGCATCAGCCTAGGTTTCTTTCTGCTTAAGTAAGCATTTTTTCTTCAAAGCGGGTGGACAATCCATTGACGACACAAGCATTGCCGTCACCCCACACCACGCATTAGCCAATCACGCGCCGGAGAGCCGGCAGAGCGGATATGTCTCCGAAGCAACCCGAGAAAGGCGGAAAATTCCCGCCCACTGCGTGGCCGTCCGTGGGCGGCTCCGGGGAATGCTCCCGGGCCATCTCCGGCCCGACCCTGACCACTGGGTACGCCATTGAAGACGAGGCTGGCGAGCATGTAGCGTATATGATGTTGTGCAAAGAGAGCGCTCGGTGAGACAGGGCCCGATTGGAAGGTTTACTGGCGGCTGGAGTGGTGGTGAGGACGCATGGGGTATCGTTGGTGAAGGCTGGGAGGAAAATCGTTTGAGGCGGTTTGTGGGACGAAATAGATTAACGTGACATGTGCGTGTCTGGTGCTTGTTGCTGAGTGTGGGCCATGATTTCGTGGTTTGTGCACGGAATCTCGTTGGTTCATCCTCTTTTGTATGAAATCCGTGTTACAAATTGTGTCAGTGTCGAATGTCCTGGCACAGTGCCAAGGCTCCAACACTGCCCGGCCTAGCCGGGTGGTCCTGATTCGGCGATCGATCCTCTTCCCATCAAAGCCAAGCTGGTGGCTGCCTGGAAATTCCCACCTGGCGGGCGGCCCGCCGGGCTGGGGCCTCTGATGGAGGCCACTGGCCGGCCCCGGGCCGACAGGGAGGAGGAGCACGAGCTCAGGTGGTGCTGCGCCGGTCTGTCCTCCGGGGTCGGCCTGCCAGTGGTGACCGCTCGTCAGTCGGCCACAGCCCACCAGCCGCGGTGGATGCCGGGCTTCTCGGGTGTCGTCTGCCGGCCGGCAGGCCAGCCGTCGCTCTGCGTGGTGTGACCGCACTACTACGGAGACTGCAGGCCGCCTTCTGTGACGGTCCGCCAGAGGCATGATATGTGGGCGTACGGCTCGATTCAGACGGAGGACTGAAGAGCAACCGGGCTGGTTGGCCACACCACAACCAGCCCTTTCTTGTCCATGCCGCCAGACCCGGTTCACACTTTACTCTGATCTGGATTGTGCCCATCCACCCCATCCACTCAAATATCTCCAGATGAGTTGCATGTATCATGCCACCACAAGCCCCACAATTGCATGCAATCGCCCCAAACCGTAAGCGCCGCCCAAGGCAAGAAGCCCGTGAGTTGGTCTACATCATAGAAGATCGCCCTTCGCCCCCAGCGAGTTCTTCCAGCTGTGCCAACTGGCGAGCGCCCGAGTTCATGGTTCCAAACGCAGCAGCACCACGGCCGTCCCACTTCCCCGCGGTTTGGTGTGTCGATGGCGGCGGTGAGGTCCACCTCCGGTCTGTCTTTCCACCCTGCGGGGGCGGAGGAGGTGGGCGGCGATGGTGAAGGATTGTCCCGTGGCGCGCCGTACTCGGGAGCGGAGCCGAACCTCCGGCGCCGTCTTGCGCTGACTGCCGCGTACATGCTGGGAGCTTCCTTCCCCCGCCCTTGTTGGGGGGCCGCCCAGCACTGCTCCGGGTATCGCAACCTCGCGTCGGCCGCCCACCATCCGGCGTGGACGTCACGTGACGCTCCCAAATCTCCCACCGCGCCCCCGCCGCTCCTGGTCTTTCAGGAGCCGCTTGGTTTTGGTCG